AAACCTCATAGAGGAAAAAGACACATTAGTTAATTCATGAAATATGATTACATTTTACCAGGTGAATGGGATTCTGGGTTCAGGTTGGGAAAGAAAGAGCAGTCCAAGAAGACTGCATAAAAGAGTCAAAAAAAGGACAGTAATCCAACTTAAGTTCTGAAAAGAAATATATTTCTGTTATTCGATAAAATAAATTTTTAAGCAAATTAATCATGTAAATACTAATTTTTTTATTTTGTTTTGTCTTGCTTGGTAAAATTAAATTTGTCTATTGTGGTTACAATCCAGGATTGTTATGTGTTTGGAATCTGGGATCTGGGAGTAGAAATGGTGAGGGATGATAGTTGCAAGAAATCAAATAAAAAAGATAGGTAAACATACACATTTTTTTCTTTGACACTCACCAAGAGGTGCAGTGTATGTACCCTCCCTTTGGATGGGTTTTGTGACTACATGGCCAATAGAACACGAGGCAAGCGCTTACATTGGTATCTTGAACTCCGTGTCTGCCTTTTTCTAGAGGATGCAAGGAAACGTAATCTTATCACAGGAAATACAGGCTGACCTCCAGCCAAGAATAAGCATCATGTTCCCAACCACATAAAAGAGTCACTTGAAGGTGGACCCTCAACCCTCATATATGCCTCCCAGCAATCCTTCATGGAGCAGAGATGAGCTATCTCTTTAGAGCAATGAACAATACAGATTCATAAGAAAAATAAATATGTCTTATTGCTTTAAACCACTAGGATTGGGGTGGTTTCTAGGCAGCCATAGATCACTGGAACATAGGCGATTGGTGAAAGGGTCTCGATGGGTAAGGAGTAGATTGGCTACTTCTTTTGATTAGGTGGAGAGATGATAGCACAGGGGGTGGAGGAGAATGATTGCATGTTTCACTAAATCAGATGACAATCATATTTTTAACCCAGAAGGTAAAGAATGGATTTTAATGATTCTTGAAAGCAGCAACATTTTAGGAAAGCTCCTTATTAACCTGTTGGGGATGTGCCATAAATAAGATTCATAGCATAAAACTGCTTTGCCATCACTGAATTTTATCAGTGACAGAAAAAAAATTATGTTCTGAATACAGGAAAAGTAACCATAAAATATGAACTTACTCTCCCTCAAAGAAACTGTTGAAATTTGAAAGTTTTTCCTAAATCCCAGAGTACAATCTAAAGCTGTTTGAGACCTTACTAAAATACTCATTAAATATGATTTTTAAAATTCTGTATTTTCCTCAAGAATACATTGTTTTTATTATAAATCTAGAGTCCCGGTGCACGAAATTTGTACACTCTGGGGGAGGTCCCTCAGCCCGGATTATGAGAGGGTGCAGGCCAGGCTGAGGGACCCCACCAGTGCAGGATCAGGGTCAGGGAGGGACACGGGAGGCTGGCCAGCTGGGGAGGGACTGAGGGAGGTCTCCAGGATGTGTCCAGCCCATCTCGCTCAGTCCCGAACTGCTGAACCCCAACAGCAAGCTAACCTACCGGTCAGATCATCTGCCCCCTGGTGGTCAGTGCACATCATAGAGAGCGGTTGAATGGCCTTAGCATATCATTGGCATATTACACTTTGATTGGTTGAATGGCCAACCAGACACTTAGCATATTAGGCTTTTATTATATAGGATATAACCCTTGATTATACACCCAAATAACCAGAACCATAACAACATGGCTTGCCCCACTGCTATTTAGTCTTTTTTGAGAATACTTGTGAATTGCTTGCTTGTTTGTTTTTTATTTTATTTTGTGTTTTGTTTATTCAAGTTTCATTAACTTCTATAAATGATGGTTTGGTAAAAGATTATCATCCTTATAATTCCTATTTTGCTCCATAATTACAGTTTTGAAAATCTTCCAAATATTCCAGAAACAAGTCACCAGTGCAGAACCCTTTTCTAAAGAGTATTACTGTGCATGACTAGTGGTCACTTATATATTGTCACATACATTTTATATTTGGGGGACAGCAATTTGACACATGGATATTGAAATCTATTTGTAATAAGCCTTATTGCTATGCTTCTTGCATTCCTCAAATGATGCATATAAGGAAAATTTTCAAAAGCCAATTGCAAGGGAAAAATAATTAAGCTCTAGGTAAAAGAAAACAGAGTTTATCAACTCACTAGGAAACTTTCTTCCAGGGCATAAGGCAACATAAATCACACCCCACTCTCTGCCTCTGGAAAGCTTGCTCTAGGCTAAAAACAGAGGATGCTGAGATAGCTATGTAACTGTTGAAGTGATGAATATCTATACTAGAAAAAGACTGCATGAAAAGTTGAATTAGCAGCCACAATTTAAAAATTGGGAGTTTCCATCTAAAAATTCAGTTCTCTAGCTTCTCTTAAAAAGAGAATAACTGGCAGGCTTGTGCCCACATTCCCGCATGGCAGCCTCTAGCTAGGCAGCAGAGTGTCTATTAGAAGGGACCTAGGAGCTCCAGTCCTCGCCTCTCTCTGCTTGGGCTCCCTAGGGCTGTCTGTCCAGTTTCCATCTACCGTCTCACTTAGACCGTTTATTTTCTTATAGTTAAATTATGAAAAAGAGAAATATTTTTGTGTCCATATTTCTAGCAAAAGTAAGAAGACAAAATTTAATTGAAAAAGGGCAAATGATTCCAGAAATATTGGTTATATCCAAGCTACTTTGCTTAATTATATTTCTCATTCCTTGCCCCCATAGGAATTGAGCTTACTTCCCCTGTTTTTAGACAGTCAGGATAAATTTTTTGAGCCAAAAGAAAACTGTTGACTGTACTTCCCTAGAATATGCTCACTGAGAAAGTCAATCCAACCATCCTTGGTCATTTACAATTTTGCTTTACCTTTTCAACAGTTTACCTTCAGTCTCAGCATTATAATTCTCACATATGTTAAAATACTTTCTGAAAGGGTTAAGAGAATAAAATGGGGCAGAGAGAAAACTTATTGTGCTCAGCAGATATCTTGCAGAAAGCTTGCAACCTTGAGCACACGTAGCCCAGATAACCACTAGCCATCTGATGCTGAGAGGAACCAAGGGCAGACCAGACTTTTGCTATCAGCAAAGTGGCTTACAGCCAGCAAAAATTAATAAAAACCTATCTCTCCCTGCTCTCTTCGCTGACTCCATTTCGTCGGACTCAGCCCACCTGCACCCAGATGCCTGGAATAAAATCTCTTTCGAAACATTATGGCCTCATATCATAGGTGCACGAACCCGGCCCACTCAGAACCTTTCACTTGCCAGCTTCAGGTTATCATTACCCTTAGCAGTCTCCTGTCTTGTGGCCATTAACCCATTCGGCCATTCCCGAGTACCACAATCAAAGCCACGGGAAGGCAGGGTATGTTTCTAGTACCACAGAATATTTTAACCATCCATTTAATTTCAGTTCCCAGTTTCCTCTAATGGTCTCCTTACCCAGACTGTAGAAATTTAAGCAATCCAACTTAAGTTTGAAAAACAAAAATCTTCCTCTTATAGAATAAAATAAATTTTAAAGCAGATTATTCAGGTAAATGCCTGAATTTTTTATTTTGTTTTGTTTTGCTTGGGAAAAATTACCCTTGTAAACCTTGGGTGGAGATGGGAATATAGAGCCCATTTCCTAGTATTAGGAAATGATCAGACCTCACAAATCTAATGTGAGTGGTTGCAAGTGCCTCTGTTGCCAACCATGGCCTTGGGAAAGCAAAATGCCCTGAGCAGGGTCATCTATAATGAGGTAATGTCAATAATTTTAAAAGTAAACAAACCCAACTGTTAAAATAGAAGTAGGTATAGATATATAGTCATGCATGTGGATAGAAATAGAGATAGATAGAGATAGAGATAGAGATAGAGATAGAGATAGAGAGAGAGAGAGAGAGAGAGAGAGAGAGAGAGGTAGAGGTAGAGGTAGAGGTAGAGGTAGAGGTAGAGGTAGAGGTAGAGGTAGAGGTAGAGGTAGATAGAGATAGATAAAGATAGAGATAGATGATAGAGATAGAGATAGAGATAGAGATAGAGATAGAGATAGAGATAGAGATAGAGATAGATAGAGATAGAGATAGATAGAGATAGATACAGACATGGAAATACAGAGAGATTTCCAGACACAGAAGAAACAGCAGAAAGCATTAACAGGTAATCAACAAAAGCCAGAGCAGTGCTTAAGCTGTTTTCAGTTTGGGGCGGTACTGGTTGGTCATTAACGTCTGCTTCTGGGAGAAGCAAGTTAATAGCAATGTTGCTGAGGCTTTATCTGCTTTCTTTCCTCAGGAGCAGCTATCCTGATTTCTTTAGGCCTAGGGGAAAAAGAGAAACAGTCACCTGTTTCTGGGTCTCTATTGAAGCTTAAAATGAAAAATAATAGTCCAATTTAATAAAAGGAATTTCCTCTCTCCTGGAGCTGCTGGAAAGAGTGCAAACCATTCATCGAGGTGTTCGAGTTTTTGTGCAGCTGAACAGACGATGGATAAAAGTTCCGGTGCTCTGTAATTAGCGCTGGGCAAGTGCTTCAGGCAGGCGTCCAATGCCCAAAGACACAGCATTGCTGTGGCCTGCCAAACCAAGACTTTAAGTAGCCTTAGTTTCTATTCTTTCAAAAGTATGAATTGTAATTGCCATTTTCTGAGACAAATGAAAGACTAACCTGCCTCCTCACAGTGCACATTTCTAGAAGGGATCCTCTATGGTTATATCAAGAAACCAGCTCTAACTCTTTCCAAGTCACTGAAGGCAGCAGTGATTATCACACGAAATGCATGAAATGTTCCACCGTGTCATTATTTATCAAGGGGAGATCTATCCATCATCCACAGTAGAGCCACGGAGGGGAGAGGGATATGGCAAATGCATATTCCCAGGCCCTGGGCCAGACTATAAAATCAAAATCTCCCAGGTTAAAAGTCAGATTCTGTATTTTTCAGCAGATTCAATGATTCTTATTCACGTTGAAATTGGAGACCCATTGGTCCAGGGTCATTTTATCATTCCACAAGAATGTATTAGGTACTCACCTTTTAGGCTCGTAGATACTAGTTATTCAGTAGTGAGAATCACAGGCAATTTTACTCTCATCAGTCCTATAGACGTGTAAAATATAAAATGAGTAAGTATGCAAGTAAATCTATTACGACAAATCATGATCACCCCTATGAAGAAAAGAGGATGCATCACAAAAACAGGAAAAGGCAGGAATCCAAGTAAGGAGGCAGATGTGGAGAGCCCTCTCTGAGGAGAATTTTCTCTCCGCCCCCCACCCCCCCAAATATCTTTTTTTAAAATATGTTAAAACCCAGATTTCTTGCTATGACCTTGGAAAACTTAAAGTCAGCTCCAAGAAGATTTAAGATAATTCAGTTTTGTTTGTATCTATAAATATTTGTGAATATTCTATTATATTTGATCCTCACAGCAAACCAGTGAGGTCATCAAAGTGAATATTTTCATCCTTATGTACAGAAGGGACAACTGTGACTTGACTATAGGTCTTATTTCAAAATGACTTCACAGATGAAGAGGGAGAATTCAACAGAGATCCAAAATAGATGTTTTAGGCCATCCAGAAATGTATTTCCTACTGAAGGAAATGTAAAATTGTCCTAATAGAGTAGAATGCCTTCTGCCTTGATATCCAAAATTCTCTTGCCTTTATCAAGTCACATGATACTACTTTATCAAGACTTTAATTTTAGAAATTTCCCTGAGATAATTTTAGTTCTTAGCTTTGTATTGAGGAGGATATTGTACTAGATCTTTGCAAAAATGATTAATGCATGACCCTATCTCTCATAGAACTTGCAAACTAATGACTAAGAGGAAGATACAACAGCTATCTATAATATAACCCCAAATTAAATAAGTAGTAAATTAAATTTTGACAGAATTAACTCATTGAGCAAATATTTAATGAACACCTACTATGTGAGAGTAGCTCTTATGACAGGTGAACCAAGCAAAGCATTTTTATTCAGGTGAACTATGCTTTTAATCAGAAAAAAGACACTGACAGGTAGAAAAGTAGAAGAAAGACCATGCTGAGGGGAGAACACAGACAAAATTAAAGAGTGGTAAAAGCATATAACATGTAGGAAATGTAAATATGGAATTTTTTAAAGTTTATAAAATGATGTAGAAGAACAGAATGAAAAGTTTGAGATTAGTTCAGAGAAAATCCGTACTGATTTGGGAACTGTTTAAGACTTTATTCTGAGGCAAAGAAAAGCCATTGTAAGTTTGAAGAGTGGATAAATACACTCCACATACCTGAATTGCAAAAGGTCATGTAAAAAAAGTATGCCTCATATTTTTCTTTGGTTTTATACTTCTTTAATGTAATATATATATCCCTAAAATTATAAAATGTTTAAGACTATCAAATAGATATATGTAATTCTCTTTGAAAATCACACTGTCAAGAACCAACTCAGGTAAATGTTTAAGACTATCAAATAGATATATGTAATTCTCTTTGAAAATCACACTGTCAAGAACCAACTCAGGTGGCTATTATTACATGGCCATGAATTCCTTTCTGAAGAACACAGGCAGAGTGGATCGGAGGGCTCAGCTCATTAGAAACATGCCACTCCTTGTACCTGGGCAAGCACTGTGATTTCTCAACACTTACTATAGTGCCTAGCACTTAGCATCAAAATTTTATGAATGAACGAGTAAATATATGGTAGGTCACAGTTCTGTATAACCAACTTTGAAACTGATATTTTCAATTATTATATATATACAGGTTTAATTTTATTTTCCTTGACATGATATTACAAAAAAAGACATATTTTCACATCACATCCTGAAAATAGCCTCCTCATTTGACTATAGTCCATCTGAATATAGGAGGACAAACTGAGAAAGTAATCAATGTAGATTAAGTAGTCAAGATAGATAAATAGATAGAAGATTAGATAGATAGATAGATAGGTAAATAGATAGGGAATAAGTAGATAGATAATAGATATACTGATAGACATATATACACAGGTACATATATATGCACATGCATGTATTTGAATAATTTTTACATTTAAATTAAGTCTGATTAAAAATATGAACTACTTTTAACAAAAGTTAAAGTAAAATTGTACTTTTACTTTATATCATCTTTTCCAGATTGAAACCAAAGCAAATAAAAGTATAGCTCATTTAAACAAAATTTAACACAAATTTAAATAGTAACATAAAGTCATCCTGTCACAGGTATCAAGTTTCCTCTTACTGAAACTTTTTTTACATGGCAGCTGCAATTTCTGTAATTATCACAATATATAAAAATCACTTTCATGAGTGAGGTTATTGTTTTTCTTTTTTATGTGATGATTAAATCTCCCTAGAAACATACCATCACATTGCAATTCCAAATAATCGCCAAGACTAAGAAATCACAACTAATTGGGGGAAAATATAAATGACATCAAATCTTACCAAACTAAGTAACACTGGGAAGGGAAATAATTTGGTTTTTAGCCCTAGCTGGTTTGGCTCAGTTGATAGAGCGTCAGCCTGCGGACTGAAGGGTCCCGGGTTTGATTCTGGTCAAGGGCACATGCCTGGGTTGCAGGCTCAATCCCCAGTGGGGGGTGTACATGAGGCAGCCGATCAATGATTCTCTCTCATCATTGATGTTTCTATCTTTCTCTTCTTCTCCCTTCCTCTCTGAAAATCAATACAAATAAAAAATAATAATAATTTGTTTTTTATAGGGTGTCTATCATTATTATTGGCAACTCTACAGATAAGAAACACAAAGATGTTAAGCTATCAAATAGTTTTATTAGAAGGTCATACACTTTGAAATTACCATTATTAGCATGGAGCAGAATTCTCTCCAGCTGCTCATTCTAGCCAACATAGTGGGTAAACGATCATTTTAAGGTAATATATTTTTAGTCATCCACTTAGAAGTTTTTTTAGTTGAAAATACAAATAATAAAGGTATGAATATGTGTATGGGACTACAGATATAGGATTTTCCTGTGCTCTTCAAGAAATGGATAATCTAAAAGTCACAAAGAAAATTTTAAATTGGGTTTTAATCATCAGGACTAACTAATCAAATAATTTGAATCAAGAAGGTTTAATGATGTATTTAGCCCCTTACTAGGTAGAATACTTGAGTATAATTATTTAGGTGTAATGAGCAATGAACACCACTTTATATTTTAAGCAATGTGCCATTTTACAGTGAACTAGAATGATTACAAAAATCCCCTTCCCTCTATCCATGACACCTTGTCCTGTCACTCTCACTCTGAGCTTGACCATGTGATTTGTTTTGATCAATGGGATGCTAGCAAATATGACATAAGCAGAAGCTTGAAAAGTAGTTGTGAATTGGTAATTATTCTCAATGGATGATGAAAGACTACATAGACCAGAGATGAAGCATCCCAGACAAGCTTTCCTATACCAGGCAATCTACCAGCTAATATACAAGAAAGTCAAGCAGAAATCAACTGGGCTTGGCCATATTAACAGAACCACCCAGCTGAACTCAGCACAAATTATCATCTAACAGAATCACAAATGAAGTAAATTACTGTATTTTCAAGCACTACAATTTAGGATGTTCTGTTACAAAGAAAAAGTTAACCAATACTTAGATTAAATTAGTTTCAAAAACCCATTGAGTTTTGTAAAGTTCCAGATGTTTGTACATCATTCTATCTAGCTCTAATCGCCCTATAACTTCAAAGGCCTAGATAAGTGACATTACTTTAATGCAAATAAAACTTCATGAATCTTGGGATAATTTATAAATGTATTTTCTCCCATTCCACATAATAAAGAGGTCAAAATGCAATGTTCTTTTGGTATGAGGATCTTGAAAGTCTATATTTTAAATGTGCACAATTTTATGCTACTTATAGGTGTTATGCTTTTTAAGAAACAATTTGTGATTTTTTGATATGCTAATGTACTTTTGGTATGTCTGTATTTGAAGGCCTGTATTTGAAATATGCACAATTTTAGGAATAATATAGCTATTCAAGTTTCAACAAATATTTTAATCATCAAAATATTAATATATGAGAGGCCTGATGCATGAAATTTGTGCAAGAGTAGGCATTCCTTTCCTCGGCTGTCAGCACTGTCTTCCCTCTCTCACCCGGGATCTGGGCTTCCCTCGCAGCCCCAGCTTTGTCCATAAGGTCGTCTGGAATACATCCAGAAGGACATCTGGTCTAATTAGCATATTACGCATTTATTATTATAGACTAGAGGCCCGGTGCACAAAAATTTGTGCACTCAGGGGGGAGGGAGGGTCCCTCAGCCCGGCCTGTGCCCTCTCGCAGTCTGGGACCCCTCGGGACATAACGACCTGCTGGCTTAGGCCTGCTCCCGGGTGGCAGAGGGCAGGCCCAAACCCTAGGTGCAGCCTCTGGTCGGGCTCAGAGCAGGGCTGATTGGGGAGTTGGGGCACCGCCCCCTGTCATGCACAGAGCAGGGCGGATCAGGAGGTTGCGATGCCACCTTCAGTCATGCTCAGGGTAGGGCCAATTGGGGGGTTGGGGCACCGCTCCCTGTCACACTCAAATCAGGGTCGATGGGGAGGTTGCGGTGCCACCCCCTGTCACACTCAGAGCAGGTCAATCAGGGGGTTGGGGCGTTGCCCCTGTCATGCACAGAGCAGGGCGGATCAGGGGGTGGGGGCACCGCCCTCTATCACCCACAGAGCAGGGCAGATCATGGGTTTGGTGCACCGCCACTGTCACACTCAGGGCAGGGCCGATGGGGAGGTTATGGCTCTAGCCCATCACACACAGAGCAGGGCCCATGGAGGGGGGGTTGGGGCGCCGCCCTCTATCACCCACAGAGCAGGGCCGATCAGGGGGTTGGGGCGCCACAACTCTCACACTCAGGGCAGGGCCGATGGGGAGGTTATGGCTCTACCCCGTCACACACAGAGCAGGGTCCTGGGGGGTGTTGGGGCGCCGCACCCTGTCACACACAGAGCAGGGCCGATCAGGGGGTTAGGGCGCTGTACCCTGTCACACACAGAGCTGCAGGACAATCAGGGGGTTTGGGCGCTGCCCCCTGTCACGCTGATCCCGGTGCTGGGAGGCATATT